TTCAAGTCTTGTTTTCTTCCTTTCTTTTCACTGCAAATTGTTCGTCTGTCATGATTCTCTACTCAAAGCTTTTCAGTGGACTTTAAATCTTACCATCCATCAAAAACCAAGAGCAGACTCAAGACACGAGAGACTGATCTTAAAGGAGGAGCAATACTAACAAAGTAATTCACACATAAAAACACTGTTTTTCTAAAGCAAAACAGAGGCATTGCAACACTACCAACTTGGTATTTCTATACTCATTTTTCAGAAGGGTAAAGTGATGCAGAGAAAGGACATGGAAACTTAACGTCTATCCTGAAACGGATTTAACCATGTGTTTGCTTAGTTCATTAATGCAGGTACAAACTCCCTGTCAGGCCACTGTCTGCCAGAAGTATGCAATGGATGTAGGCATTTCCTGAGTGTTTAGCTACTCAGCAGCCAAACAGCTGTCAATAGGTGGATATTCCATTCACCATTACAGGTACTGTACCTCATTCTTAAAAGCTGTTTTGTCTCCATTCACCAGGATAACTCAGTCACTGCTTGTGGTAGGTTTGAGACTGAACACAAAGTCCTAAAAGCTCGAAAAAGAGAATAGCAATTCACAGCACACACTGTCTGAATTGTGATCTCCTTACAATTTTTTTTCAGGAAAAAAATAAATAAATAAAAATCCTCAATCTGTTTGTTGTTTCAGTTCACTTTAGGGTGACATAAACAGCTTTCAGTTCTTTACATTCTGCACAAGCCTCCAGAAATATTCAGTGTTTACTAGAGCTCGCTGGTGTTAAATCAAGTATGACTATCACCCTTTAAGGCCTAAATGATGGAGCGATATCCATACCAATAACACATTTTCACAGTGTTGACACCTGCTTACACAGAAGCAGTTTACTCATTCTTATAAACCTGTAGAAAAGGGCATTAAAACTTAGTAGGAAACCTAGGAATTGCCTTTTCTTTTCAAAAGTTGTGTGTTTTCATTTGTCGTATCCAGCCTCTTGATGAACTCTGTGGTGTATTCTGCAGAGTATCTCATAAAAGATAAATAGCTGGACGGAGAACCTGATTAAATTGCTCTCTGTCATCATTTTGGCTATGTAACTGGAAATGCCCATGTAACTGGAAATGCCCATGTAACTGGAAATGCCCATGTAACTGGAATTGGATAGCAAATTATACTAGATAACTCTGAAATTAGAACAATCCTGTAATAAACTTCGCAACCGGTAAGAGACAAGAACAGCTTACTGGGTCTTTTTTGACCACTTAAAAACTTTCACAGAAGTAAAACACGACCAAAACTTTGTGAAAGCAGGGTGTTCTTCTGCTAATGGGTTGGAAGAGCAGAGTCATCGAATGTTGAAGCACCTGCGGTTGTTAATTTAAATAAATAAATAAAATAAAATTTCCACCTAGGGAGTAGGAAAAAAAAAACGTGGAAAAGCACAAGGCTGTGTTCTGGGGAGGAAACTCCGAGGAGAGGAGTCCGGAGCTGTCCCTTCAGCACCACTGCCCTCCCCGGAGCTGTCCCTTCAGCACCACGACCCGCCCCGCCCCGCCGAGCCGCCGGCCAAGAGCCGGCCCCTGCCAGACAACCTGCGGTGGTGGCTGCTGCCTCATGGGCCACGGCCAGCGACACTCGGCTTTGAGTACATTAAAGCCACAGCAGTTTTCAATCGATAAAGAGGTAATCGCTTTGGACAATGTTGCTAGTGGGTACCAAGGAGAACAATTAAGTTAGGCATAAATTAGCCTGCTGTCATATGCATATTCCTAGACTTCCCGGACTCTCTCTGAAGAGAAGTTTTGCAGAGATGGATCTACCACTCTAGGCAATGAAGGGTTTTATTCACTGTTTTAAAAACCAGCCTATGACGGTTAATTAGCTGCACTTTTGCAGGACCATCTAGTGACTACGAAGGCATAAACCACTGCATGTGCTTCTTGAAGTCTGTCTAGAAGGTTTCAGGGGAGTAGGAAATGTGTACGAGGGCAAACACACAGTCAGGTGAAAAAGAAGGACCACCACAAAAGATTACTATGAAAATTTAGGAACACTGCCCCATGCAAGAAACAGAGAGAAGAAATCTCTTGTTTTCCTGAGAGCTTAAATACAAAAAGTAGTTTTTTTCACCCTTTGAACCAAATTATTTTAGGATACATAAGAAATTAAAGAAAAACCTTTCACGTTCACTTTTGCAGACTACCAGTAGATCAGATAACATCACAAAACTACTTTAGTACTGAAAAGATGATACACAAAAGAGAAGTGTGCTTGGTAAGACGCAGGTAGTAACTGCTAATAAACTTTTGAAAGATGTATCTGCTCCTCCTGGGCAATCATTGAAGAACATTTGTCTTTCTGCACTGTTCTTTGTTATCACTCTTCCTCCCAGTGGTTCCCTGTTGCTATACACATTTTAAATTTAAACAATTCTGACATTCCCAAGCGCCTCTGCCTACAGAAATGCACGCTATCCCCTGCATGCTGAGGTGCTCCCAGCTTCCTAAACAAATCACAGCTCGTTGCAGGGGAAAATGCTAAAGCTTCCCAAGCAAGTTGTACTCATTTCCAGGAAAAATATGATCAAAACAGCAAACTACTGTAAAAACAGCTCTTTCCACCTGTCACTGACTGAGCTTAAGAACACAGAAACTATCGCAGCCACATCTTAGGCAGGAGTACGGTGAGTACACAGGCATGTGCATGGAAGCCTTGTTGTAACCCAGAGGAGCATGACAGTCCAGTATTCACTTAGCCCAAATAAATTACAGGAGACAGATCGAGGGTGAGACAACTAGTGACCAAAGGAGGAAGAAGAGTTCTGACATCGTGATGAACAGCAGGAAAAGATCAGCCAAAGTTACATTCTACTCTGTGTTCTAAAGCCTATTAATATATGCATTTATAGATATATATATATATATATACACACACACACCTCTCTAGTAACAGAAAAAAAAGAGGTTATCCCTTTAAAATGTTATCTGTGTAAGGGCAAATAGGCATTATCCTGTCAGATGGCTGTTCAAAGGAGATTTTTTTTACTGCCCTAGGTATAATATAGTCAAATACAAACGTAAGCAAACACTGCTCAAAGAGCAGTGGACAGCAGGTTCTGCTGAAAACTGTAAGTATCTTCAGGTGGCAACATGCAAATTTCCTGTAACAAGCCCTAAATAATTAAAAGATTAAGTCCTTCTGTAAATAAGAGAGCTAGTCTTTCATGTCCCATTCAATATAATGCAGTAATAAACAGCCACAAAGCTAGAGGGGGTCTTTTCAGACTTCCCCATATGTTAGGGGGGAATATTGAGATGTGATGGGAGATGAACGTTACCAACTGCCTCTGTAAACCCACCTCAACGAACACAAAACCAGGAAGAACAAACCAGCTCATCAAGCCGACACCAGAGTTGTAGCACAGTTCTGCGTGCACTCTGCAACCTCTACTTATCGTGGTATTTATTTTTACGGTAGGGAAGCAAACTACACGAAAATGCTCCACTTTAGCTGCGGGAAGCGGAGAAGTCCAAAATGACAGCCTGTGGCTGTGTCCACTGACTGTCCCTCAACCAAACCTGGGCAGCATGGATGTGACAACAAGCATGCCTTTGCCTGTCGACCCTGTGCCCACAAATAGCAGACACACACTGTGACCTGTTGGCACAGCAGACATTCCAGCTGCAATAAAAACTTCAAGAACATGCTGGGAAGGCCCAGAGATGGGACCACAGCTATGGGAACCCCCGCCACAGCCCTTGCTAACACCAAAACGATGTTTGCGAGAGCAGGGCTGCGCTTGGCCACATCAAGGGCTTTCCCAGTTGATCCAGTTCCCCTGCCCTCATCGTTTTCACCCTTGTCCAACTGCCTTTTGCCTAAGTTTTCCCCGTGTCTCTTAAGGGGCAAGGAGGAGAATGGACACAGAGTCTCCTTCTTCCTGAGGGGAACTCCAAGCACCCTCCCTCTTCCCCCTCATCCTTGCCACCCAAGCCACCACTCAGTGGTAACCACCTGGCCAGTGCCAGTCCCCTCACCCCACTCCTCTCCAGTCCCACCCAGGGGACACAGGCTCCATCTCCAGGGGAAGAGGTGTGGGACAGTGACAAGTCCAACAAGTGCCTGTGAAGAGCAATGAATTACATAACACAGGAGGGAAGCCAAAAAACTCATCCAGCGCTTAACCCTTAACATGCCATGGACCCCTGCCCCTCTCCCTTTCTCCTAATCAGGGGGGCTTTTGCCCCAGCCCTGGCCCTGACCCCCAAGGTGAGACACTCACCGATGGTCGTGATGACCGTGATGGCAAAGTAGAAGGAGCCAGCAAATTTCCACTGGACACCGGCCCGGTGCGGCTCAGACTGCATGATCACCAACTCCAGCTGCCGGTAGTCCTCGCTGGTGATGTTGTACTTTCCTTTGAGCCGGATCTCCTCGGCTTTGAGTTTCTCCTCCTCCCGCATCTCGTTGTCGGACTCCAGGGCATCAAAGACGGCAGCCCCGACCAGCAGGTAGGTGAACGTGCAGATGATGAGGGACAGGGTCCGCACGTTCTGCCTCTTCATGGCCGCCAGCAAGGGGCGAGTGAGGGGACCATGTCCCCCC